TTTTTACATTTTAATATATTTCTATATAGATACGTGTTCTACAATAAATGGTGTTATCATTCCAAAGAGTATTCCACTACAAATTCCAGTAAGCAACATAGCAGCTCCAAACATACCTGCAATGCCACTGTATCTTGGTTCAACACAACTAAAAGTAATCATATTATATTAGTATACAATTATTATATACATGATGATAGAACTTTTAATGGGAGTTATATTAAAATAAGATAAGTGTTTAAAAATGAGCTACTATATAGCTAAGCGAGGAAATCAAGAAAATACTATAAGGCAGTGGTTCTCAAGCTTTTTTAGTTCACCGCACCCTATTATACATAACTAGTTTTTGTAGCACACTCAAAATAAATGTAATGAAATGTACTATTTTCAATATTTTTTACAGTATAATTACAAATATCAGACATTTCTAGCAGCACACTTAATCGATCTTGTGACATAATATTGTGCTGCGATACACTGGTTGAGAACCACTAACATAAGGTATAAGAAATTGTTATTTAATCATCCATCAKTTGTTATTTCAGATTTATGAAATTAATATAGAAACAAGTGATTGACAACAACTGTAGATAGTAGCACTAGACACTTGTCACATCTGAGAATTGAGAATCTAATATGCCACATTTGAACACTTTAAAAAAAAAATTACCTATACCTGAAATTGTATTATTAGATAATAATATTTTAAATTAATTGGAATTTAGTCAATACTAAAATACACATATGATTTAATTTTAAACATAGTTAAGCAATTAAAGCAATTATTTTTACCTTGGAGCATACATCATCGCTACAGAACTGTAATAACCACTAGATAATCCAAGGATTGCTCCTAATGCCCAGAATATATAATCGTTTTCTATTAGTACAGGCATTACTCTTGTAACACCAATCGGCTGGTAATTACAAATCAAAAATAATGGAATAAGAACAACTCTTAGTATCACAGGAACAAAAAGCCATTTCGGCTTTGGCTAAAAAATAAATTAATAACATTAMATTTARTTAAATTACCTGCAGTACTCCATCATTAACACGAACACGACGGGACCACAAAATAACCTGTTCGTGTTAAAAGAATTTGTGTAAACCAATAGGTTTAACACGAATTTGTTTGTGTTATCAGAGAAGATTAAATCTAATACGTTATTTTACACTCAAATAAATTTTTTTTTTTTATTAAGTAATCTTCAAAATATAAATTTTTCCGCGATTTTGGTTTTAGGCAGTGTACCTTTTTCGACTTCTACTAAAATGAGTTGTTTAGTTTTTAGATCTATAGACATTTGCTTCCTTTTCAAACTATTTTTGGTCAATCACTAACGACACCAAAAAGTCAATTGACCAACTGATCGATAGAGCAATTATTAGTTTAAACGAGAGCGATTATCGCCGAACTAGATTGCACACATACAAATTTACACATGTATACATATGTATGTACCTACAATAGAGAATATGTACATACATAGTAGGGATAAGATAAGATATCGATAAAACTGTGTTATAAAGATTAAATTACTAACGACTATACGAGTAATAAAACAAAAATAGATACATACATATGTACAGATTGACATTTTTCTGTTTGTGTTAATCAACAAAACGACAATATAGTACCTAAAATTTGTTCGAGTTTTGTGTTAACCGAAATAATTCATATAAACCGAGGAAATAAAAAAAACTGTATCTTATAGTATAAAGATCTTTCTCGGGACCGAAAAATCTGTTCGCGTTATCCAATAATTTGTGTTAACCGAGTTCGTGTTAACGAGAGAGTACTGTATTTAGAATAAAAAATTTAATGAATATTAATAATTACCCACGAAACCAATGTAGAAAGATATGTTCCAATAAGTGCGCATACATTGAATGTCAAAAAACACAATACACTGGTATAATATGTATCTCCAAAAATAAAATCTTTATTTGATGTTTTAATATCTATAACATAGTTACAAAAATATAAGTTATTATATACTATGGTTTGTTTAACAAAATATGTTATACCTGAATGAACTGCTGGAAATATTGATAGTGTTACAAAGAATACAAAAAATACATTAAATAATTGTGGACTAGCTTGTTTAAAAATACGCCAATAAGGAACTTTATCATTTTCTTCGCCTTGTTTAGAACCTTGATTTTCAATTTGTCGTTGATAAATGAGTTCATGATACTTATAAAATCTCTATAAGCATGCATACATAAATAAATACATGTATTTTTTGGCATATTTATACTCAAAAGTATTAATTACTTACATTTAATGGCAATGCAAAATATGTATCAAAACAGGCAAGCAACACAAATAGTGCTGTGGTAAAATAATATATAGCAGCAGTTCGAGCATCTGGAGTAATTGAAATTGATGCAATGTTAGCAATAGATGTAAAGGTACCACTTAAATTTGTACCAAGAACCACAGCACCAATATATTTTGTAGGGAGCTTAGCGGCCATACCAAAAACAGAATTGTTGTAAATACCATTTGCCATGTTTAACAACACTATACTGCCTAAAGTTGACCAGAAAAATAGAGCTGGTATTTGAGAGGTATTAATCATGACCAACGCAACAGTAAAAACAAAACAAAGTACTTCAGTAAGAATAGACCATACAATTCGAGTTGTCAATTTTCCGCTGAAAATAAAATTATTTACATAATAAATATTTGATTTGCATMAAGGAATCTTGAATTTTTTGAGAAGTTTAGTTGCACAAAAATTTGATCAAATTTTATAATTTYTGATTTTCACTTTCATAATATTATTTTTAATTACTTATACTTTAGTATATTACATACATTTTCAGTGGCACACAGGATATTTTGAGAGCAATGCAGTTAAAAACTTAAACACTCATTTTTTTGTTTAAAAAAAGTATTATTACTCAATTATATTCACTTATTAATTACTGTAGTTAATGGAAATTAATTTTTATTAATTTATTACTATAGCTTATTTTTTCAATGTATACATTTTCCTGTAACACTAGTAATTTATGTCAATCCCCCCTCAAAAGCACATGTAGTTGCAGTACTTGTTAACCTGTTTGGGTGACACTGTTAATTGTATTATATTAATCTTTCTTGTTTAGCTGGCCTAAGTTGGTGAATACATCTATTGAAAATGATCTTCTATGAGTTAGCAATATTTTAAGTATAAACAAAAACAATGAATTACAAAATGTATATTGAAAAAGGCAAATTATTGGAGAATGAAGTATAGACTATATGGTGGATARGGAGGGTCATATAGATTTATAGAACATTAGAACTTGTATCTAAGATATTGCCACTGGTCATACCTGATGGCTGTTTAACCTTCTTTTTATGTTTATAATAACTATTATTATTATCAAACAATTAATTTAATTTGTTAAATTACTATAACAATACATAAGTGTATAGACATTTTAAATATTTTAATTAAAAGTTATATCTAAGATTTGATTGTATGTTGAACCATGTTTAATTTAATTAATTAATTTTTTTAACAATATCTTTTATCTGTATTAAATGCTTTTAAATAACACAAAATGATAACCTCTGGCCATTTGCTGACTACATTACACATACAAACATAATCATCAATAGTACCATATTTATAATTTATAATACTATTTATTAGTACCTCTGACATAACAATATTTATATTTACATTTAATCTTACCCTATTGGACAAAATATGTTGAGCCAATTGAATAGAAGACTAGGTAGCTGTGAGCCAATAGTCAAGTAAGCCATGAAAATGGATGCATAATGCAAATCTTGACCTAAATAATCGTTACCCAACTTGTAATCCACAAAATACTAAAAAAAACAAACGTATTAATAATTTAAACATTTTTATCAAAAGTAATTCTTAAAACTGCTTTATAGTAGAGTACATACATTTTTTTAAATAATATTGAAATCCTATGATAAATGTTTATGTAATCGAAAATAAGAGTTTAAAAAAATATTTTAAATAAAATATAATTGGGTTACTAACAAT